GCGGCTGATCATCGGGCAAGCCAGTTTTATACTCCAGGTCGCCAAACGCTCGAGACACTGCTAATCTGAGACGTCAGGGACAACCACATGCATTGAAGTTATGCTGCGTACTTTCCAAGTACTCTGCCGAAGAACACAAACCCTCCTGCTTCTCGAATCCTCTTGAATTCATCTTGTCGTGAAGGGCGTTGATCATTCGATAAAGCTATCGCCCTGTTGAATGAGTGAAGCACCGCAGGACAACGGAATGATTGTGCTGATAAAACCTTATGACACTGTTAAATCACAACCACTACTACTAGTAGTAGTCTACTACTACTACTACTACTACTACTACTACTACTACTACTACTACTACTACTACTACTACTACTACTACTACTACTACTACTACTACTACTACTACTACTACTACTCACCTCCCATTCCGAGATAGCACTCCCCGAGCGTCCCCGGTATTGGCACAGATTATCGCGTTGCCCATGATAAGGACTATCACTGATACACAACCTAAGACCACTTGAACGACAATAGATGTGCCCCTGTGGTGGCGAACCCGCGGCACTCGACCAGTCTTCCTCAGTGGCAGTCTTGATAAAGGCTTCATCTGTCTCCTTATGTGCCTATGGAGTAGCACTATCAACGATTCGCGATATGCTAATTATGTTCAAAGCGAGTGGGAGTATCGATGCGAGTCGAAGCTGCAAGAACAAGCAGTGTGTCGGTTCACGAGCATACTATCAATGTCATACGAACCCTGATGGAAATGACCCACCTGCATCAAGCACTTCAATACGTCGCCAAAGACGTTCTCAGAATTGTCGAAACCGCCTGAAAACTACCTTGGGCATTCGAACCAGCGACTGATGAGAATCATTATCATTCGGGTTTAATATCATTGTCGGATAATTTCTTCAGTGATAAGCATGTATATAATTCACTGTGAAGAGATCATATCCCAGAGTTACTCACCTTGTTGATGAAGTTGATTCACGAAATTGATATGCAGATATTTTCTCACGAATTCAACACATTCTCGACCCCCATGACCGTCGTATCTGCTCTCATACATCATTAGTTTTTTCGACAACTCTTTCAATCGATCAAAATATTGCGAAATGTTATTCGTCGTATACTCATTAATACTGCAAAATCTAGTTGAGTACAGAGCAGCAGACTCACACTGCAAACCAACTGCATTGTCTCTGGTTGGACACAGCGATATCCTGACAGAAAGCTCTTCCATAAGAATGGTAAAGGCATCAAATACGTGTAAGATGACTTCCTCATCCTCCATTGTTGGTCGATAACCCTGCTGATGGCAAATACCAACGCGGAAACGGCGAATTGTGAACTCCTGCAGTGATGAATGCTTGACTTCCAGAGTACCAATATTTCTGTAATTTCGGTGTTCCAAAACTCAACTAAGCACTCCCATTATTGACTATTCCTCTGTGATCACCATTATCGAGCTAGATAAGACCAAGTCACTGGTCGATACCCGATTCGTCACAGGAATAACATCGATGATAATACTCCAGCAACAAATCGCCATGCATCATTCGACTTTAGAAAAGCCTGGTGTAGAGCCGGCCAGGATATATACAATCATGGATAGTCTTTAAACGATGTAATATCATCTTACTAGTTTTCCTATGCGAAACCTGTCCATGGGTTGCAACCAATGCGGATGATCTCGGCTGAGTCGCAACCATACCGACTGCTTCGACTCAATGGAAAGCTGAGGATCGCATCGAACGTTCATGATAACATCAATTAATCTGTCTCGCGGAGTCCACGGTTATAGGCTTATACTCAGCAGCAAGAGGGGAGCTCATTTCACAGCTGCGAGCCGAATCATTGAGTCATCCCAATAGAGACTATGTTGCCCCTCCCCACCTCGCCCAAATGTGCGTAGTATCGCCCATGTACGAACGCCACGTGGAGGTACTCTCGCTTCATCCAACGGGTTGCCTGAATTGCATCAAATTGCATTTCCCAGGTATCATGTGACTCAGTCGCGTATCACAAATTGTGATTCACAACACGTATGTTCTACTGTGTGCTATAGCTTAAAAAAAACTAGTAGAACAACTAGATCCACCACCGGATCGCAGCACAGACTGTGCTGCACAGTGAACAGTACACTTCTAGTTCGGGTCGCCAGACACAGAACTGCGTACGGCACTTCAGAAGCTTCCTAACAGCGTTTGCCCTTACCTCGTCATTGGATGAGGAACTCCTTTCTTTCACCGAATCGATCTGCTTCTGGGAATTCGGATAACTCACAACTCTCAGTGTGCCTCTATGGGCGAACTTTCCGTGAATCTCTGAAATCAACGATATCTCATCAAAATAGTTACGATGGTTCGAACGGCATGATGACGGATCGCCATCGGTAGCGGATAATCCTCACGATTTACAACGAACGGTTCTGTTACTTCTTCCGAAAAGATTCTCTCGTGGGTCGTAAGAGCCATCGTAAATGCCCTTGTACTCGGTCGTAGGTGGCCTGATGGAGCCACAACAACGTATACGAAATCAAGGAAAAGTAACCATCCAATTCTCGAAGATAGATTAAATCAATATCAAAAAGTATCAACTTCAGGTGGCGAATCTTCCGGAGCTGAAGCTTGTCGTATACTAATATTGAACCAATACTATACCAGAATTTTGGGACATCTCTTTATTCTGAGAGTCATGGACAGCAAACCGGCTCGTGCAGTAATCTACTCAATGACTAGAGTAGAATAGGATGGATACAGATGA